TAGATAGATAGATAGATAGATAGATAGATAGATAGATAGATAGATAGATAGATAGATTATGAGGCCCACTTTCCACATACAGATAGTCTGCTATCAGATCACTCAATTACCAAAACAAAAATCAGGCAGAAATTGTATCCTGCCTCTTTCCCCTTCCCCAACAAGAGGGATTGGCTTCTGGTTTATTATATTGCCTGGGCAGGAGAAAAAGGGACAAGAATTTGAATATTGATTTTATTATATATTTCACTTGCATTTGATACATAGCAGTCACTGGACTTCTTGTGTCCTTCTGTGCCTCTTTATCTTTATTCAGTTTACCTGGCCAGGCAAAACCTACTCCCTAATTGTAAGTTCCCTATTCCTCTTCATTATATTTTAATTACTGAAATATGTAGTAAATATAGTTTATAAATAAGAACATTCATTTAGATGATGCATATTATAGCAATAATAAAGGTCAATACAGCCAATATTTAAAAGTTCATTTGTATTACGTTATTTTAAATATGACCACTCTAGAACTGTATTTACCTACAAGGAAGATGATCCCTCCCAAAATGAAGATGCGAAAGAAAAAATATAAACATAGTTATAAACCCTATGAAATTCCAATCTTCCTCATCTTGTCAAAGAGTGTAAATCAGTCTTAGACAATTCTGCCTGCTTAATAAATGGAGGTATGTAGGATATTGTATGTTCATACGTATGTGTGGATATTGATTTGCTAAAAAACATATTTTAAAAGAGGGCATAATTAGGACAAAAATAAAATTAATTGCCTGTAAAGTGACCCCATTTATAAATTTAACTGAGCCTTCTTCTGAATATACCAACCCTTCTATCACACACAAACCATTATCACAGGCAGAAACCTACAAGCATTCAACACACATATTACCCTCCCCCTTCCATCAGAAACAGCAAAAATAAATAAGGAAAAATTAGGATGGAGCTGGAGCAAGAAGAAGAGGAGCTACAATGAAAAGAAGAAGGAAAGGCAGGGAGAAATTTGGATGGAAATAAGAAGGGAAGAGATAGCTAGACAACAAGGAAAGAAAATGGAGGAAAGGCATTACAAAATTAATGTTAATTATAGTTAAAATCACAGATAACCAGCTCCTCTCAAGCACCTGCTGAACTTCAAGGCATCTTCTCTTTTCAGTAGCTATTTCTGCAATCATTTACAACTCTTAGCCTTTGTTTTTCTCAGCTAGTGTAAAGTGACTCCTTCAATTCACAAGTTGTTATTTCAGGAAAAAAAAACCCCAATCCTCTTATCAAATATGATATTGTCAAATATAATGACCAGATTTAACTGAGAAGTATGATTTTTGTGGCACAATTTTATTTTGGTTTATATGATAAAGATTCACAAACCCTTGTGGTGAAAGAATCACTACACTGGGCTTAATTTATTTTTAATTAATTAAATTAGTTTTAATTAGTCAAATAAGATTAACTGATTTGTTTTGTTTCAGCTTGCCCTCCTTCCCATTGGGGCCCAAACTGTATTCATACATGCAATTGCCACAATGGAGCTCACTGTAGTGCTTATGATGGAGAGTGCAAATGTACACCAGGATGGACTGGCCTTTATTGCACACAAAGTGAGTTACACATATTTACCCTGATAAATTTATTCTGGATTTCAGAAACAGCCAGTAATATCAAAGCTAAAATTTAGGAGCTCCTGCTGGGTTACAAAATAATCTGTTTCCAATTCATATTGCTTTCCATTTTCTCAAAAGAAGTTTTTAATGCCTGAAGTAGTATTATTCATAAGTCAGCAGGTGGTACCCCTATAGTACATAAATCAGAATGAGATATTAAAACATTACAGCTATGCATGTTTCAAAAATGATTAGAAATGCATCAGATTTGCATGAATACAGCACCCTTCTATTCATTTAAGCAGTCTGATTCTTTTAGGCTCCTGCATGAACCCCCCCAAAAGTGCCAATGTTTGTCACAGCTGACTTGAACAAATGAATTACACAGAAGCCTGAAGAAAGTCAGGCTGCTTTAAAGAATTATGGGGAGGTTTTGTGGTCATACTTTTAGATGTTCACATAACATTTTTTTCAGAATCATTTTTAAGGAGTGTGTAGCCCTCCTAATATTTTCACTAGTAATGGAAATTACTTCTGAAAAAATTACTGATTTGGAGGGGCAGGGAGGAGGCTTGGCTTCTGAATACCCATCTCCTACAGTTATAATAGTATAACTTTTACATTCCACCAGAATTACATAATGTTAGGAAGAAGTACAGAGTTGTACTGTTATTCTGTGTTACTAGTATTAGTATTCAGTTCTTTTCTGCTCTGATGTTATTTTATTGTTTTATAACTCTGCATTCTCTATGCTGAGAATACATGCAAAAAAGTTTTCTCTCTTGAAAATCTATTGGATTTCTTTCGAAGTAATGAAGTACTGAGATTTAGAACATAGGCCTATGCAACTTATTTGGAACTATACCCTTTAAACATAATGGGTCCTTCTAAGTAAGTCAGTCACCATTTTTATTAGACAAGTGTTATTTCAATTATAAACACTTTTAAAGAATATGTTTTATCTCTTCTTTAAATGATGAATTACAGTACTGTGCAAAACTTTTAGGCAGGTATGAAAAAATGCTGTAAAGTAAGAATGCTTTCAAAAATATATATTGTAACTGTTTATGTTTATCAATTTACAAAATGCAAAGTGACTGAACAGAAGAGAAACCCAAATCAAATCAATATTTGGTGTAACCACCCTTTGCCTTCAAAATAGCATCAATTCTTCTAGGTACACTTGCACAGTTTTTGAAGGAACTCGGCAGGTAGGTTGTTCCAAACATCTTGGATAGATCTCCTGTGGATGTAGGTTGCCTCAAATCCTTCTGTCTCTTCATGTAATCCCAGACAGACTCGATAATGTTGAGATCAGGGCTCTTGGGGGGCCAAACCAT